GAGTCACTGCTGTAGAGTTACACAGACAGCTGTGAAGGACAAAGGTTGGGGCAGGAAGAGTTAGCAGCTAGCAGGGAGAAGAAGCAGGGTGCGGAGTGGGCAGATCTGCTTCTTCCATTAGCAGTGTCTGTGTTTGATGTGTCCTATACTGTCTCTTAAGAAGCAGCCTTCCTCCAGGGCCTGGGGTTTGATCTGCAAAGGCATTCACAGTTACAAGTGAATTCCTGGAGAGCTGTGCTTCCTTGAAAAATGGTGCTAGCTATTTAATCTGGAAAATGGGGATAATAATATCACCTTACAGGAAAGGGATAACAATGCATTTGTTACTGTTAGTGAAACATTCAGTTCTGACAAACGCTCTAGATCAACTCTGTTGGCAATGCATTCTCCCATCTTGTTAGTGAACAAGAGCATGCAAGAAATGAAGCTGTGGAGCTGCATTCCGACTCCCCAGGCTTCAGAGGAACTGTGGAGAAAGTTGTGTAATCCTACAATTACAATTTATATTATAAAGTGTATGTGTCCAAGGAATCTGAAATAATGGTATAAGCAGATGGCATTTGGTTTTTATTACTTCTGAGTGTTTGACTTTTCACCATTAATCTTTTAATGTATGGGAGGGGAGTTCTGTGTTAAATACAGTTTACAAAAGTCCTTTGGAGTTCTTCTGAGTTGTTTGCCGCTTCTGTTACTTTTAGATATTTGAATAGCATAACTTGATGACTGATGCTGCATCACATTAACAGGAAATTTGATACAAAAGAACACTCTCTTCACTGAAGATCCCTTTGCATTAACTTTTTTTTTCAAGCAAAGAGAATCTCTAATTTTCTTTCTCTTTTCTTTCATTTTCTCCTAAGCCTATAGTATTACGACTATTCTAAACATAATGTTGAACTAGTAGGCTTTGGTCTAACTGGGTACGTCATTATTTCCAGGTAATGAATTAAATGCAAAACAATCTTCTGTGAACATCCAATTCTATTTATTAATATTAGTCAAGGTTATTAACTGTGTCTTTCCTGCTGAAAAGCCTTCTTGATTCATATAGTGATATCTGTGTGCAGTGGTGCCTCTGTAAATGTAGTCTTGTTCTATGTGTATGTATTTTGCAATTTATTTTCTGAGGATTATATATGTACCTGCCAATGAACTAAGTGGTTCCCATTAGTACAGTTTCTGGGCCTCTCTTCCCTATTCCAGTGGCTTGGCAGTCTCCTGAAATGTCAGAGAATGATGCAGATCCTTGCAAATTATGAGAAAGAGCCTACTGACCACAGAGCAAGACAGACAGGCTTGGCAGGAGGAAAATGAAATTGCATGTGTGCCTCCACGATCCCACAGACAGCTGGTAGGTCACAATTCTGACCTGTCAGACATGACACTGATCATTTAATTTTGTACTTCCTACTTACTTTGCACCAGCCTCTATGCTCACTCTCACCCTCTTCCATGCTGCTGCCTTGTTGCAAATGCTCATGCATCTTTTCCTTCTTTTCAAATCCTTTATGCAATAAATTCTTCAATATTTCTACTAAATAAAATGCACCTCATTCAGAAACATTACTTTTATTTAAAAATGCATTTTCTCCAATTCTAACTGATGTGTGTTTCTCATCCTGAGTTTTAATGACTTCAAATATTTTATGTCCAAATAGTAATTACTCTTGCCAATTAAATGGAACAGATTTACTTTGGGGTGAATTTTTGTGCACTACAGAGAGGGTTTAAAATGTTGGTATCCCTCTGTTAGAGTTCAGAGTTGACCGTACATATTGCATGGAGTTATAACTGGTGAAATCAGAGAGCGTCAATATCTACTTTTTGTCAGGAAATTCCGGTTCATCAGTGAAAAAAAGAACACACAAATTACAGTTCACAAGATGCTGCCTTTTGCGCCAAAGATGGCTTCTTAGTCCTGCCCCCAATGCCCCAAAGCAAAAGTGTCCTATGCTATGACAGTGTAATGGTTTATGTGCAGAAAACTGGATCAAAGAATCATTCATACTAAAGAGAATTCTCTAAAAGCCCTAGGCCTTCCCCACATACACTGACTTCCTGAGATGAAGAATGAGAATATGGACTTTTTCCCATATCCTGGAACTCACTGACTGATCTTGGGCTTTTGTGAACAATCTACATGTGAATTACCTCATCTGTTTTTCTGGTGCATTGTAAATCCAAATTATAATGCTTTCTTTCTTGGAAGAGAGTGTTGTATAAAATTTTCACATGTTCATTGTTCATCAATGAATAAATAACGCATTCTGTTTCAGGGTGGTTCGGATTCTTAGTCAAATTTTCCCTGTGTTTCCAGGAGCTCTGGCCAGCCCTAATCAGAAACAGTCCTACTACTTACCCTCTCATAACACTAAGCCTACAGAGAGCAACATAAATGTTAATTAATTTACTCTCACCTCACTCCTCTGAGGTAAATAACTATATCATTTTCCCTTTCTGTTTAAATGAGAATATTAAAATAGAAACGTAGTGACTTGCCCAAGGTTACACAGCACATTAGTGGGAGAAAGATTAGCATTCAGAAACTCTTAGGACTTGTCTACACAGGGAAACTGAAACGACGACTATGCATCATTCATTCAGCAGTAGCCATTCAAGCAGAGGCCTATGTGTGTGTGCTCTATCAAACGGAAAAGAGCCCTTTTATTCTAGAATTAGTTATGCACTATTGAGGTATGGGAATTATTCTGGAATAAAACTCTTCTTATTTCATAATAAATGCCCACCCACTGAACTGTTCTAGACTTGCCATTCTGACCATGTCCTTACTTGGGCAAGGACTAAACTGTAAATTCTTCATCCCTCTCTCCCCGGAAAACCATCTTAGTTATTACTTAATTACAAAGGCATAAAAATGTTTATGCTTCCTTGAAAAGAAAGAAGACAAGCTCTGGCTATCCTGAGGCCTGTGAGAGCATGCAGTCCTCCTGAGCATTGCTGCTCCCCTAGCTGTAGTGCCAGCACTGTGTGTGGGCAGAGCACAGAGAGGGGAGTATCTCAGCCAGACCCCATCTCCTGCAGCCCCACATGCCTGGCCCCAGTGGGTGCTGTCCTCAGGTGTGGGGCTTGAGGAGAGCCTGTGGTGCCCAGGAGCCAGCCCCAGCCTGTGCTGCAGCCAAGGGTGTGGGCCTCTGTCAGGGACGAGGCTCAAATGGCATTCGCTGGGTTGAGGAATGGTGTCAGAGCATCTCTCCCTGCCTGGCCCTGCTGAGTACCTCCCGCATCTTGGGACTGGACACATCAGAAGCATGCACAGAGAGATCACAGAAAAGGATTTGGGAATGCAGTAGCCCCATCAAACAGCTTGCTAGACATGGCTTTGCTATCTGAATTCTTCTGATAAGGGCAAAATCTGGAATCACACACACACCATGCTTCCTGATGCTGTGGTCACATCCAGCACTGCTGTATTTCTATACCTGAAGACTGAAAGCTAGTTTGTGCTTCCCTTGGGCTATCAGTAAGAAACATTTCTCTTAATTTCCATAAGATGCACTTAGCTTTTCAGCTGGGTGACATACAAAAAATATATTTAAATGCCTAAAGTGTTCCCGTTTGTCATTTTAGATTGCTAACCCTAAAATGTTCCTATCTGTCATTCTAGACTGCTAGCTCATTTCTTTTCCGCGCCAGAGCAGCACTGGGATCATTTCTTTTTCCATCTAGAACATTCCTCCTACTTGGCAAGACGAGATAGGAAATCTTTTGGTGACTCTGTAACACCTGCTGGAGTCACGACCTCAGGATGGAGAACCTGTAAGAGTGATTGCTCTTTGGAAATTCAGCCAGGTGTTTTTAGAGTACCTTTTGCTGGGGTATTTAAACATCAGTGCTAAACATCCATTAGGAACATCTTCTGGAGCTCTTGAGTCATTTAGATTGGTGCAGAAATCTTCATCATCACTGTCCAGATCTTCCTGGAAAGTGGGTGTATGGTGAAAGTGGAGCCGCAGCAGGGCAGCTGCTCACTACAGCTCCCTTGCTCTGGCAGCTATTGCCGCTTTGCATACTGCTGGAACTTCGCCAGCCCTGGTCTGAGATATTTTCTGGAGTGCCCTAATTTCAGAGGCAGCTCAGGAAAAGCTTCAGTTACATTAGTTAACTGAGATTGCTAATGTTTTCTCAAGACAAGGGCAGCAGTGATGATCAGCACTGTCCAGAGAGAGTTACCATGGCTCAATCTGTTAAGCTTTTTGGCCATTTACAAACAGTTCCTGTAGAAAAAAAAAAGGGATGATGTTGATGTATGCTCCTTTTTTTCCACATCTAACCACGTCATTAATTTGTTCTCTATGGCTGATATCTAGAGAGAGAATTCAATTTAATTTGGCAGTAAAAGAGCTTGATGTAATGCTATCTGCATAGCACTGGGAGGTTCTGCCTTTGTGTCAGTCACCCTCCTCTCCGCACGTTTCTGGGAGGCTGGAATTTGATCTAACGACAAAAACGATTAAAATGATATGAATATATATAAATGCAGAAGGTTCTGACAGGCGCTACACCGAGGTGTACTGGGTATGCCCCGAGGAGCCCCTTCACCAAGCCCTCCGTGTACAGGTAACTACGCACAGCGGGAGAGGAGCCGCTAAGCACAGCCGCCAGCCCGGCAGCCGCAGCCAGCCCAGCGCGCTCGGGGCCTCCCAGTCTCTCACCCCTCAGCCCGCCCCGGGCCACGAGGCGGGTGGCAGCCTCGGACAAAGCAAGGGCTTTCCCCTCGGGGGCCGAGCGGCGGCACCTCTGCCCCTAAGCTCCCCGGGCTTCCAAACTCGCGGGGCCGGGGCCGGGGCCGGCAGATGGGCCCAAGGCAGCAGAACGTGCCCGGGGAGCAGCGGGGGCGACGCGGGCGCGGGACGCAGGCCGCCCGCTAGGCCCGGCGTTTGGCCGTTGCTATGGGAACGCGCGCGGGCCGCTCGCCCCCGCCCCGCCTCTCCGGCGCGCGGGCGGCGGGGCAGGCCCTCTCGCGAGAGCTGCGGCGGGCGGAGCGGAGCGGAGAGGAGCGGGTGGCGGGGTGAGCTCATCCCGGGCGCGGAGCGCAGCCGAGCGGCGCGGAGGGTGAGCCGTCGGCTGCCGCCGCGGCAACTTTCTTGGGTGAGTTGCGGGCGAGAGCGAACGGCGGGCTCGGCGCCGACCCCCTCCCGCGGAGCCGGGCGCGGAGCGAGGGGGCGCGCGGGGTCGGCTCGCGGCTCCGCTCCCGGGGAGGGCGGCAGCCCGGCGGGAGCGAGGGGCGGCCGCGCTCCGCGGAGAGCCGCCCCTGGCGCGAGGTCCGCACGCGGGACTCGGTCAGTAAGTTGTCCGCTCGGCGCCGCGAGTTGTACTTTTTTTTCCTTTCTTTTTTTCCCCTTGGCTCTTTTCCCCTGTAGCCGGTCGGGCACGTAGCGGCTTGGTGCTGCCCGGTGCCGGCAGCACGGCGCTGGGAGGCGCGGCGGTGCGGGGCGCGTGGGAGCAGCCCGGGCCGCGCCGCGGGCAGAGGTGCGGGAGGCGGGAGCAGGGCTGCCCCCCTCGGCCGTGTGTCTCCGCTCTTCCCCCGCGCTATCCTTCGCGCCGTCTCGTCCCGACTTTCCCGTGCCGCATTCAAAAAATAACTGCGTTACGCGCACCGGGTGACTGCGATGCAGCCTCGGCTCGCTTAACGAGGAACGCACCCCGCTCGTGTCTGCGAAGCAGCGACGCAAAATGGGAATTGCTCAACTTGAGCGAAGATCTCCTTGTGTAACCTTGGCTACACCGCCTGCACGTTTCGGCTGCGGGAGGCACGGCTTCGCCCGGGGAGGAATGCCGAGGTGGTTCTGGGGATAACGCTGCTGACAGATTGGCTTTTTAAACCTCGCCGGCGTGTAAAATCCCTCGGCGGTGCCGTGCTGCCGAGCCCGGTGCCGCACGCCGAGCGGGGGCACCTGCACGCTGCAGCCCCTGCCTGCTGCACGGCCACGGCTGCGGGGCCGCGCTTGGCGTCTCTTCCAGGCAGCAAACCTTCGTGCTGGGATTCTGATCTTCCTAACTGCGTTAATTAATTCTCGCTAACTGTAGGAATTAAGCAATTAGCTTCCCTAAATCTAAGGCATAAATCAGTTCTATGGAAGGAAATTTTTTTCTCTTTTTTTTTCTAAAAAAAAACGCTCCCTATCTGTAGTGTTGGTAGTTGCCACTGGAAGCACTAACTGGGTAATATGCACCTGTATGCGCTCTGATGGGGAGTTTGGCTGCTGTTTGCTGGGCAGGAATGATTGGGCTGGCCTCTGTTTGCCTTCGGCTGGAGAGGGGAGCAGAGGGTGAAAGGAGAGAGGTGGGAGCTTTTGTGATGGCTGCAATCACCAGGAGAGATCTGTGAGCTGTGCTTTGCTGTTACAGCCGTCCTGCCTCAGGCCGTTGGGTGTCACACCGGCTATTAATCCAGAAAGGCTGTGGGAACTAACCAGTCATTCTTTTACTTGTGAAAACACGTGTGTTCAGTTCAGGTGAAGTTGAAGTTTCATGATTGCATGCTTTATGTAAATCTGATGTCTCCTTATGATTGATTTTTGTTTATAAGTAACTAGAAACAGAAGATTGTTTTTTTTCCTTCCCGATTTTAATAGGGTTTATTTATGGTCAGTTGATTAAAAGCTGCGCACTTAGTTACTCAGCAGTGTATTAAGAAGGTGTTACTGATGCTAATAAAATGTTGGTTCTTGGGATAGGCGCCTTTTGCTCTCAGTTGTGGTTCATTGAGCCATGAGGTCAGGAACAAGGTGGGACGTCATCCGCGGCTGTGTGTGGGACTGCAAAGTGCCAGCTGGAGGGCCGCAGGTGTAGGGTTGGGCAGCGGCACAGAACCAGGGAGGATGGGGCTGCAGCTGGGAACGTGTAATCCACCGCCTATTTTTTCTGTGATCAGATATATTATTGTCATTTCACTCCTGCGTTCTAGCTTAGAAGAATTCTCTTTTTTCTTAGAAATTTTCTTTAAGATTTGAGATTCATTTCTGGATAGCTGTTGTTTTAATAGCCATGTCCAAGTGTGGCTTGTTCTGAGTGTTTTGCTTGTTTGTTTTACTCCCTTCAGTTTTCAAGGAGATGTTTTATCACACAGCGTTCTGTTGCCACCTCAGGAGCTTTTAGTTCTCTTGTAGCTCTTCTTGTCCTCTCAGTTTTGTTAAGTGTATCCCAAATGTACGTATCCCTTAGATTTTCTATGTGAACTTCTTTTCTTCTGACTGTTTTGTCCCACGTCCTTTTGTTGAGAAGTTTCCCCCATATCTGTATTTTAACCCCTTGCTGTGGAGGCTGCTGCTGGGCTGAAATCCCAGCTGCCTTCTGTGCTGAGCAGGCGGAGCTGCTGCCCTTATCTGAATTTCAGCCACAAGTTTCTCTTCCTAATGCTGACACTTTCAGAGTTCTAAACTTATTCTCCTTGGGGTCAGCCTGTTGGGAAATTGTTGGGGTCTGTTGTTTCCTTGGCTTTCGTAGCTTCATTCATTCCTCAGCAGCTCCTTTAATTAGGTCGATAAGGTGTGATTTCATTGTCTATTAGTAACTTCTTGCATCTTTGCTTTGTTCAGTTCATTGTTCATTTCATGTATTTTTGCTTTCTTCTCTCTTGTAGGATTTTGTCCTTGTTGTGATGTGGGCTGAAGTTCCGCCCGCCTGATGTAAGGTTGCTTTCTGCCTTGCTCCTTGGTGGTGGGGTGGAATCACATTTACATCATCTCTAAAAAATCTTAATGCTTTTTTTTTTTTTTTTTTTGAGATTCTGAAACCCTTTGGTTGAACTTCTTGTTAATAAGTTACAGCAGAAATGTGGCACTGGTGAATGCAGTCACTGATTGATCAGTGTGTACAAATATATTGTAAAATGTGCTAGGTCAGGCCTTTAACCCGTGTGGTATGTAAAATTAATCATGTGTTAATTATCTTGCTGCGAGTGAGGGTGAAATATATTGTATTGTTCTGTGTTTTCTTTCCGGGGAGATGTGACTTCAGCGTATCCCTCTAAACAGTAACTTCCAAGCAGCCTGAGCTTTATGTTTTACTGAGTTTAGTGTTGGATTGAGGACCATCGAGTTGGGTGGTGCTCATAGTGGGATGTTGTGGCTCATTCTCTTTAATGGAAAGCAATTGGTGCTGAGATGGGAGACTTACCAGCAGTGGAGGCAGTTAGCAGAGGGCACGGTTGCAAAGCTGCAGAGGATCGCCACTGGGGAGATGAATGACAGTAATTTTGTGGTTTTGACAGGCTCTGATTTCTTGATCAGCTGGCAGTGTAGGATGAACACGATCTGTAGCATTTTCAGTGTTGCTTTAGTAGTAGTTGTGCACTCAGAACTCCAGGAAGCCCTCTAGGAGTTGCAGAAAGATAACCTATTTCACTGTTTTTTTTGAACATGAATCCACAACTGAAATTGCTTTAGATGTCCATCTTCTAAGATGCAAAGTTATGTCATTGTCTCAATCTGTTTTAAATCCTGTGGCACTGGTTTGCTGGGTGGATTGTTTGATTTGGGTTCGACCGCATGCCTTTTATGTTTAATGCAAAGCGAGAGACCGAGCGTTTACACGTCTTTGTTTTCTTTATGGAAGCGTGCTTTAGAAAGCACGTCATTTGAATGTGGCAACATAACACTTTCCATTGTCCTGATAGCTGGTGAATTGTGCCCTCACAGGGTATTCTTCAGTGCTGTCTCTGAGCTCCTGGTATGAAAGTGGGTCCTGACTTGCAATGCCATGTTTGATTAATAGGATCGGCCTCAGTCAGCGTTATGGAAAAGTACAGTGTTCAAGGAAGAGCTGCTACAGAGAATGATGGTTAGTGCTTCATCCTGAGAGACACCTGGAGGTTCTTGTTGATCTTGATAATTTTCTTTGGGCTCAGACTCTATAGGAAGGCAGGAATGTTTCCTTCACAAGGATGTTTTTAACAATTAGCAAAGTGTTTCTGAAGACCAAGTTTAGTTCAGAAGTTGTCAAAATTTAAAACTGGCATACAGGATACAGTTGTTCATAAAGTCAGATTGTTCATGATTCCTCATGGTTTTCCTCCACTGCTCAAAAGCCTCCTGGTGGTGTTTATTCCAGTGTTGTTGTTTACCTCATGTAGTAACACCTTTTTACCTCAACATACAGGTATTTCTAGCTGGCTGCTACTGCTGCAGGGAAACAGGTGTGCTGATGTTGAACTTGTACCGTTATCATAATGAAATCCTTTCATGTTAATCTGTAACTGATGGTGTTACAGCAGATTAAAAACTTAAACTAGTCAGAATCAGCTGAGCACAATCTTACTCCAGTCTGCTGTACAGCACAGGTCAGAAGTTGAGCATAATTTAGAGAGAAGCTACCTGTTGCCTGCTTGATAGACACTGGCCAGTGTGACTTGTCCAGCTCTGCTGCTTGCTTACCTCTCTCCAGTGTCGCCCTGCAGCTGGGCCGGCCCCATGCTGCTGGGCTGTGGGGTCCCTGGGTTGGGACTCCCCAATAGCAAGATGATCACAGCACTATTGGCATCCTCATTCTTTGACTTTTGAGTTCGAATGGCAGGCTTATTGTATGCTGAAAGGAAATGGGATTAACATAGAACTCTTAGAAATACTGTATGATAGTATTTGTGAAATGACTGCTGTGTTGCAGAACTTTCTGCACGGCAGTTGTCTGTGCCAGCAGCTCTGATGTTTGCCTGAGGTGTTCCTGGTGGTGGCAATGCAAGCAGCTCTCTGTGAGGAGTTAAATGTTTTTAAACACCTGCTGTTGTTGGTTTACCTAAATGTTGCGTGTTCTCAGGAACATTTTTTTTTTTACTCCTGGGACAATCTGAAATAATGGAAATAACATGAAGTATTCAGTGCGGGCCCATGATGAGTTGGGTTTTACGAGAGATCATAGATTTGTTTTACAACTTTTCTCCACGTTTTGGCTCAAAGAGTGCTTTTTTTTTTTTTTTTTCTCCCACTAATTTCTGAAGTGGCAAATTGATCACTCAATCTTACTAAGAAAGAAAATGATTTGGAATGGTAGAAGAAGCAGTGGTGCTAAGACCCCAGCTATAAACCATAGTACTTCAGTAATTATAGCTAAGGTCCAACTTAGCCAGTCTGCTAAACCGGACATCTCCATCA